TTGGTCAACATGACAAAACAGGAAAATGATAAATGTTAGAGTAGATGTGGGAAAATTGGAACACTAATGCATTGTTGGTGGAGTTGTGAAATGATCCAACCATTTTGGAGAGCAATTTGGAACTATGTCCAAAGGGCTATAAAAATGTGTGTACCCTTTGACCCAGCAATAGCACTTCTAGAGCTATATCCCAAAGAGATCACACAAATGGGAAAAAGACCTACATGTACAAAAATATTCATAGCAGCTCTTTTTGTGGTGGCAAAGAATTGGAAATTGAGAGGATGCCCATCAATTGGGGAATGGCTGAGCAAGTTGTGGTATATGAATGTGATGGAATACTATTGTGCTATAAGAAATGATGAACAGGCTGACTTCAGAAAAATCTGGAAAGACTCGCATGGTCTGATGCTGAGTGAAGTGGCAGAACCAAGAGAATGTTGTACACAATGACAACCATGTTGTGTGATGATTAATATTGATAAACTTAACCCTTCCTGGCAATACAAGGATCTAAGACATCTCCAGAGGCTTTGTGATGGAAAATGCTATCCACATCCAAAGAAAGAACTATGGAAGCCGAATTGATATTTTTTTTCTCTTCTGTTGAGTTTTGTTTCCTCTTTCTGATGGTTCCTCCTATTGGTTTTAATTTCTACTTACAACATCACTAATGTGAAAATATGTTTAATATGAATGTAAATGTATCAGATTGTGTGCCACCTTGGGGAGGGTGGTGGGGAGGAAGGGGGAGAAAAATTTTAAACTCAAAAGCATATGTAAGTGATTATTGATAAATCAAAATAAATTAATAAAAAAAGGTTTAATTTTAAAAAAAGACATAGAATATCAAAGGAAATAATGAAACTATATAGGAATGAATGTGAAATAGCCCTTCTAGACCCTAAACTATATTATAAAGCAGCAATCATCAAAAAAAAATAGAGTGATAGATTTATAGAACTAACTAGATGAAGGAGAATTAGAATCAATGGAACTCACTAACTTAATTTGCTTGATAAAGTGGAAAACATAAATTACCTAAGAAAAAACTTCTCATTTGATAAAAACTGCTAGGAAAACTGGAAAGCAGTCTGGAGAAATTAGGCTTAGACCAACATCTTGTACCATATTCCATGATTTATTCTAAATGGATATGCAACTTTAATATTAAAGATCATGTTATTTTTTCAGTCATTTTCCAGACAAGTCTGACTCTTTGTGACCCCATTTGGGGTTTTCTTGGCAAAGATAGTGGAGTGATTTGCCATTTCATTCTCTAGCTCATTTTACAGATGAGGGAACTAAGGCAAACAGGGTTAAGTGACCTGCCCAGGGTCACACAGCTAGTAAGTGTCTGAGGCCAGATTTGAACTCAGAAGTTTTTTTGACTCCATGCCCAGCACTCTATCTACTGTGCCATCTAACTGCATTCACTAAAGAATACACTATATTTTAAAAAATTAGAAAAGAAGCTCATATATCTGATAGCTATGGGTAGGAGAAGTATAACTAAACAGGAAATAGAGGAATTTACAAAAGATAAAACAGGTAACTTTGATTTCAGGAAAATGAAAAGCTTCTACCCAGACAAAAGTAATGTAACTAATGTAAGAAAGAAGGTGGTCAAATGGGGAAAAAATCTTTGTATCAAATTCTCTCACAAGACTTTATTATTTTATATATATGTCTATATATGTAATATATGTATATATGTGTGTATACACACACACATGTGTGTGTATAAACAGCCATTTTTCAATTGATAAGTGACCAAAGGATATTAACAAATAGTTCTCCAAATAGGTATTGCAAAATATTCACGATCACATGAATGACTGCTCCAAACCACTAATAATAAACAAATCAAAACAATCATGAGGTTTCACTTCACATCCTGCAAATTGCGAAGATTGTGAAAAATGGCAATAGCCAATTTTGGAAGACTTGTGGAATGATAAGCACACTAATACATTGTTGTGAAATTGTGTAACCATTTTGGAAAGCAATTTGAAATTATACAAACACATCCATACCTTTTGAACCAGAGAATCCATCACTGGGCTTATAACTCAAGGAAGCCATTGATAAGAATAAAGTTCCCAAACAGCAGCACTTTTATAATAGAAGAGAATTAGAAACAAAGTAGATATCCATGAACTGGGGAATGGCTAAACAGGAATGTAATGGAATATCACCACACTATTAGAAATTATATATAGAGAAGTACAGAAAATCTTCATAAACTGATGCACAGTGAAGTAAGCAGATTCAAGTAAACAATATACACAATAACTATGAACATGTAAATGGAAAGAACTGCATACCAAAAAAATCAAAAGTGAATGTAACAAAATTATTAAAACAAAGTATGTCTTGTGAGAGGACACCCCCAGTCCACCCCTTTGGAAGTGCACAAGTGTTGGCACATGACACTTTTTCTGACTTTTTCACTGTATTGATTCAGTTGTGTTGATTTTTTTTTTCTCTTTAAAAAATACTACTTGTTATATGGGATGATTATCTGGGCAGGAGAGGGAGAGAAATATTGGAAATAACTATGATGATGTAAAAAAGAAGACTTCAATAAAAACTTTAAAAAAAAAAAGATCTTTAGTAACTTTAGAGAAGGAAATTTCAGTTATGTGATGACGTTAGAAGCCAAAATGCAAAGGATTAAGAAGTAATAGAAAGGAAATATAAAAGATGTTTTTCTAAGAGTTTGGTTATCAAAGGGAAGAAGGCTATAGGATGATAGCTTTAGAGGATCCAGTAAGAGTATTTTAAGGACATAACCAGATCTATGCCCAAATGTAACAAAACAAAACTTATAGAACTTATAGAACTTTAGAAGGGAAAGAAGGTGGAGTTAGAAAGACCTATAAAGTTACGATAATCTAAGCCAAATGGTCATATCAGCCTGTACCAATGGTAGAGAGAGACAGAAATGGATTTGAGAATTGTTAGGTAGATGAAATCAACAGGGCCTGGTAGAGGATGAGACATAAGAGGTAATGAAGATGAAGGAGTCAAACACAACCCCAAGGCTAATAAAAATAGGTGAAAGCTGCTGATTCTACAGAAAATTAGTGACATTCTCTTTTTCGCTCAATATACCTAGAAGAAAATGAAGTGAGGTTTAGTTTTATGGTAGGTCTGATGAAGGCCAGAAGTTAACATTTTAAATAATATGAAGTTATCAGAAGTAATATTAATCACCAAACATTGACACAAATAATCCAATAGTAAAGGAGAGGGGCTTGTGGGATGCCACTTTTGTTCCACCAGGGACAAATACCTAAAAATATAAAATAGCTAAAAACAAAATTTTCTTCCAAAGGCCTTTGAAATTAACAGATAGTAGTTGTCAAAATATGAAGGACAGAAGGGGTAGAGGAATATGAAATTTTCCCAATTACTCATTAAGTCTACCCCAGCTCTATCCTTCACAGTAAGATTTCTCCTTTAGTAGCTATTTATCTCCTAAAGCTAAATATTCAGAAATAAGAATGATGTTAAATATACATATCTATCTATATATATATCTATATCTATATATATACATACAATGTGCTTAGAAGTAATGATTAAAGGAGTAGACTACTCAATGTGTAAACCAACTGGATTTACAAAGTAAAGACTCTGACTGCTTCCAGAAATTCTTAAGTATTAAAGACTAGGCTTTTAATCTGTTTGAACTCATATAGCCTATTTTAAAAATTAACCTGCTACAATATAACACCATTGCACATAAAGATATTCAAGCTATAGCTCAAGCAGTTTTATTGAATTTTAGTTTCAAAATTCTTGGGAAATCTGAACTGAAATTCTTATGTCACCCATGTTTTCCACACAGAACTAAGACAATAAATTATATTTTGGGAAAAATTACCAGAGATGTAGCTCAAATTTTTTATAATTAGTTATAATTGCATACATGTAAAATATACACAGTACATATATAGTGTATATATATAGATGTGTATATATCTATATAGATAGATCTATATCTATATCTATATCTATATCTATATCTGTATGGGGTCCCTTACCAAATACTCATACTGTGTTAAACTTCAGAGTCCAAGAAAGTATCTGCCTTTCCACTAACTTTAGCTTGTTTTGAGATTCTTCAAAAGTAGCCCTGATGAAGAAGGCTGATTTTTCCATGTTGATTTGTTTTTGTTTGTTTGTTTTACCACAAAGTAACTGAAAGAGAGGAAGGAAAGGCTGAATGTAATGGAGTGCACATTGAACTTGGAGGCAAAAGACCTGGGCTCAAGGTTCAGTTATCACTTACAAAAGTTATGTGCTCTTGCAAAGTCACTAAATCTCCTTGAGCCTCAATTTCTTGTTTGTAAAATGTAAAAAAAAAACAAAAAAAAACCCACATTACTGAAAGGGCTAAATAAAGATCATTTAGGTAAAGCTCCATATAATGTGGGTTGCTATTATTATTACAGTTATTACTACCAATGATTCTGAAATATTAATATGAAAGAAAAACCTATGATAGGGATGCATCCTTTTCTCAGTTACTACCATTCTCCACCAATGAGCAAAACTGATTGAACTAATTGAACACTCATGTTACACTTTCTCAGAGAAAATAGTTTTAACCGAAGTGAGAAGGGTGAAAGTGCTCGGCACACATACACCCCAGTGAGAAGTCGTACACCCGGGTCTCCAGTATCCGGAAGGGTGAATTGCTCTCCTACCAGTATTCTGACGGCCTCCGGCAGAGGAGATACCGTGCACGGACCTAAAAATTGCCAAATAAAACCACCCTAATGTCCTATGGACCATTTGCTGACTTGCTTTAAGACACAGAAATTGGAGCCTAGAAAAGACAGACCTGAATGCAAGACTTTAAGGGGCTCCCCATCTCCCCGACAGTGGCTAGTCACACTGACTCCCAAAGGCAGGTGCCCATGGGACAAGTTGGAGGTGGGAGCAGACAAGTAACCACTGTAAATAAAGTCAGGCCTCGGGTCCCTTACCAAATTCTGTGCCTTGATTGTTGGCAGACATAATCAAATAGCAGGAACACCGTAAGCCACAGCACCCAGAGAAGGAGCAGCAAGTTAATTTAACGTCCCGCTTTCAGGTCCAGCACTTCCTTCTTCCTCTGCTCTCCCACGTGTCATCAAACTACGCCCCCATTTGCACATTACACTTTCCTCCCACCAACATTGGAGGCGGGGCATAGCAGCCGTCTTCAGTCTTCTCTAGGAGGAAAACTTTAAAAACAAATAAAAAAAAAATTTAGCCATCTTTTGAAGTAAAATCCCTCTGTTGGCCACATATCTTTTCTCCTCTCAATTTCTTTGTAACCCTGTCTTTTTGGTTGTGCATGATCGATTCCCCAAAATTACTTCTAATTTGAATAGCACTGATAACCTACTTTGTAGATTTTCCACCTCCCTTCATCAGGATATGCTAGCATTTGCTTTTAAAACTCTGCTCAGGGAAAAAAAAAAAAAAAAAAAAAAAAAAAACGAAAACTACTGAAAACAGTTTAAGTAGATGAGATGAGGGAAAGGAGAATAAGGATGTCTTTACCAAAAATTTCTTGCTTGGAATTTTTTTTTTCTTTTTAAGTTATCTGAGGCTCATTCATTCATTCATTGTTGATTTGTCCTTCGTTCTTGAAGAGGACCATGACATCAGGAAGGTGATGTAAGTAAATTGCAAGTAATTGCATGACTTGCAAGTAAATTGGATTTAAATGAGAGAAGGCTATGCAAAATCCCCGAAGTCACTCACTCCTCCAGAGACAGAGATGAGGACGACTGGATGTAGACTCAGGATGGACCTGGGTTTGAATCCTGACTTATTAACTGTTTGACCCTGGGCAAGTTACTTAGCCTATTTTCCTCATCTGTAAAGCAGGGATAATAATAGCTCCTACCTCACTAGGTTATTGCGCAGATCAAATGAGATATTATAGGCACTTTGCAAACCTTTAAGGTGCTATATAAATTCTAATTGTTATTATTGTACATAATCATACACAAAGAAAAGGACCACTTTCCTAACACTATTTAACTGAAGGATGATACAGTACTATATATGAAATGTCATTAGTGGTGATATGTAGCTTTTTTTTCTCTCTCTCTCTCTAAACAAAAGATAAAAAACTAGCATTAAGGACCCCACAGAACAGTAATGCAGTTCTAGGCTAGAGTTCATAAGGATTCTATTCAAATTATCTTGTTTATTATGGGGATTAGGAAAACTGGTCCAAATCATCCTGGGTCCCATAATTTCAACACAAGATATCCCTGTGGGATTTACTGACTCTCAGAGAATAGATCACCTAAACCGGGTTTGCAGGCATCCTGGAAACTTTAAATATATTACTGAATGTGATCTTCACACCCACCATGTGAGATAGAGGGCAAATATACTAATATTTATATACTAGTATTCAGAGAAAGATAAAGAGTTTATTATGAACAGTGAGTCAGAGATATCAGTGGACCCTCCACTTGGGAAATATCTAGTAGGCAGCTGCAAAAGCAGGTCTGGAGGTGAGGAGAGTGGTCAGGGTTGGAAATACAAATTTGAGAGTTATTCACAAAGAAGTGACAGTTTAAAGGTGTGGAGGTGAATGAGATTATTGTGGAAAATTGTAAAGAGAGAAGAGGACTGACAACACCACCTTCGGGATTTCTTCTTTCAAGAAGGAAGAAACTTCTGGGCATGGGGTAAAAGGAGCAGTTAGAGAGGTAGAGGAACCAGAAGAGTGTCATTTTAAAAAGGTAAGGCAAATATACAAAAAATAAAGAAGGACCAGTACTACTAAGAAAAGATAAATGGGGGCCAAAAATAACCTTCAAGACTGGATTTTGTGGAAAGCAAATGAGTAATAAGACAATGGAGGATTTGGGTGAAAGGGAAGGGAGAAATGCAACAGTAACTCATGGAAGTAGAATATTCAAGAGAAGGCTATTGGAGGGATGAATATAATTCATCATGTTTCAATACCAATTCAACAGTACATATAACATACATACTATGTGCCAAGCATGGTTCTAAGTGCTGGAGATACAAAGACAAGAAATGAAACAATTCCTGCCCTCAAGAAGTTTATCTTCTATTGGTGTTAACAGCACATACACATATGTTTACACACACACATATGTATACATATATAGACATATACACACATGTAAATGGAGAGAAAACTGCATGTGTGAAATAAATGTTAAAATTATTTTTTTCTCTGTTGATAGTTAGTCTTTGGTAATGTGTATATTAGCATATTAACAGTGACTAAAGTTCAGAAAAATATTTAACTATCTAATTAAGATAGAACCTCCTTTTATGTATGCTTATTAGTTTTCTTAAAATGTATTTGTCTCATAGAGTAACATATTTATTTCTAAGCTGGATCTCTCTCTCATTATGTATGTATGTATGTATGTATGTATGTATAAGTATACCTTCCCTACTCCCATTCAGCACTCTAGAGCTGTTAATGCCCACCAGAGTTATGCAACTATGTTGACTAGATCTACAAGTTTATGTTATCTAACGGTAACTGGATCCTCTAGTCCTTCCACTAATCCTTCCACTCTTCCCTGATTGACCCTCTATATCACACTCTCTACAGCATCTGTTCCAAACCTACTCTTCGGTTCTGAAGTCACCAGTACCAAGCCCCTTCAGTCATCCTCCTCACCAGTTTTCAATTTCTTTATTCCCTGGCTTTTCAACTACTACCAACAAATATAGCTAGATCTTCTCCATTCTTAAATAACCTTTACTAGATAATGATATATGTAAAGTCTTCCCCTTTTTTCCTTTCTTTGTAATTTTATATATAATATTCCATATTGATACATATAGAGTATTACATATATAACGAAAAAGAGAGAGAGAGAGAAATTACATATACCATTGTCTAATGATGGTTGTTTAAAAATGATGGAAATATGGCTGTTTGTAAGTTCCAGCTAAGTGTTGGAGAGCATAAGTTGTGTTAAAATTGTATCATGTTCTAGTCCTTCTGCCACCTCATTCCCCTCCCTTCTAAGTCAGTATACTAAGTTTAAAGGTAGCCAATATAAAGTAACAATATCAGGAAGTAAGATTGTAAAGAGGAACCTAGAAGTCACATATAAACTGCCCCAAGGTTAAAGAAGCATAATTTGCAAACTATCGTATATTGACCAAAAATCATATCCTGAGAATGTGTGTTAAATCAGGAGAAGCCATCTAGGCCTTGCTGTAAGAGACTTTTGGTTCCATGGTATATAAACCTCAGATAAGCTCCAGACATCTGCCTTAAGACCAGCAGAACACCAAATGTTGCTGATAACTTTGCATTGACATGGACATGTTAACTTTAAGTTTTATTGATAACTTTGAGAGGATATGGATGTGTTAATGAACTAACCTCAAGGTGGCATGGATAAGAGTTAGTCTGCCCTCCACCAAAACCCTACAAAAACAAGACCCCAAACTCCTGTCCCCTCTCCACCCCACAGCTGAGCACGCTTTCATTTCCCTCTGGGTCAACGCTGCCAAGTGCTCCCAATTCTGATCCATGATTACGTAAGTTATTCTCTGTGACTCTCCCCTCCTCGTTTTCTTCCTCATGCTGTCTGCCTTCCTCCACCTCCTCGTCCCTCTGTACCATCCCCCCCCCACCTTTTGCCACTTGTCTCTGTATTTTCTGTGCCATTCACCCCAGCAACACTTTGTGCCTTTATAAAGTATGATTGCAGCCTTATTACCCAAAGAACCAGGCATGCCTGCCCTATTTTATAATTCCATAAATTATTAGCAATTCAGAAGTGCATTCAGTACTGGAAAGTCTGGCTAGGGATAAAGTGTTTCCTTGGGGAAGCCAGTTTCCCATGATTGGATATTTGTAGGCAGCAGGCAAAGTATAGCAACAAGCGCAAATTAAGCACTTACTTAAGTGTCGGTACTATGCTAAACACAGGGAATAAAAACACAAGCAAAAGACAGTCCCTTCCCTCAAGGAGATTTAATTCTAATGGAAGGTGACAACAACAAAGGAAAAGGGAAATGGTAGGGAAGAGCTACCAGAAAACCAGAAGCAAAGCCAGAAGGGGAATGGAAGTGAGCTGAACTGAACCTGTTGCCAAATGGGGGCCCCAGGAGGGATTCACTAAGGGGCCTGCACAGCAGAGGGATGTTCCATGGTGAGAAGGCCACAGGGATAGGTCAGTTTCTCAGGATGAGGAGACCTGAGGGAAGCTCCAGGGTAAGACAGCCACTAGACATAAGCCACAGTACAGAAAAGTCAAAATCAGAGCCGAAGGGAAAGACTGGAGTTAGGTTTTGAGGTGCAGATGAAGACAGTTAAAAGAGCTCACATCAGGTGGCTTGGCTTTGACTTTCTCAATACAGTAAAAAGTGAGGTCATATGCTGAAATATAATTATGGCAGTGGTTGGGGGCTTGAACAATTACTGTGGGGAAGGCAATGTGTTTAGTTAGAGTTCTGATTGGTAAATCTGTGGCCTGGACACTTTCATCAGATGCCCAGGCTATGCTCATTTCACCTCCAGTTCTTCTCCCCACTCTTCAGTCTGCTGCTCCCTCCCCAGCAGCCTTGCCCCCATGAGAAGACCATTTCTCTTCCATATCCTTGAATCGCTTTCCAGCCCTCCTCTCTACTTTGCTTTTCTCCATTAGAAGGTAAATTTCTTGAGGGTAGGGACTTTTCTTGCTTCTATTTGTATACCCAGAGCTTAGCATAGTGTCTGGCACACAGGAGCACTTAATAAATAAATGCTTTATCCATCTATCTCTATTTTCCAGATAATAAATATAAATAAGATCAGGATTAGAAGGGACCTTAGAGATACCTGATTTTACAGATGAGGAAGTCTAGATCCAGAAAAGTGGTGACTTCCCTAAGATTGCATGGCTAGTTAGAGAAGGAACTCAGAGCAAGACTGATGTACCTTAAGGGAAGAAGGGAAGAGGGAATTTGAAGAGAGTGATTGGGGGAACTGGGAGAGAATGAGCATTTATATAGCACCTACTATGTGTCATGCACTTTGCTGTGTGCTTTTTATAAATATTAACTCGTTAGATCCTTACAACTCTGTGAGGTAGATGCTATTATTACCAATATTTTACAGTT